GAGTTAAGGGTCCTGAGAATTTGTCTATGTCAACGCAGTTTTTTTTTTTTTTTTTTAACATTTACTGAAAAAGTGTGCCTTTCAAAGATTTTTTTTAAGGTTAGGAAGCAAAAAAATAATTAATTAAAATTAAAAAAATATCTGAGGGAACCAAATTAGTAATTTAAGGTCAATGCCTAATGATTTCCCACTAAAGCTCACAAAATTACCCTCATTTGATGAAAGGATTAAGCAGGAGAACTGTGGTGGGGGATGAACTTCTATTAAAGCTTTCCCAGGCATTCCGCTGCTAAAACTTTGGCTAACTTTCTCAGAACACTCTTAATAAGATGATGTTATTCTTCTTTGGCTTTCCAGAGATTCAACAAGCAAAATTCTTTGAGGCTCCCCCCAAAAAACTGTTGCCAAGACTTAACGCTCTTGACCAGTATGCCTTTACTTTGACTGAATCACTTCCACCTTTTGGTAACCATTGGGGGTTCTTTTTTTTTTTTGGGGGGGGGTTCCTGTTTTTCATGATCAAAGTGTGTGCATGCATATGCACAAGAGAGAGAGTGAGAGCAAAAGCACATGCTAACGGGCCCTGGTCTTGCTGCAATGTTTCTTCCTCCACTTCTCCATCCTGTTAGGATCCTGGGCACTTGTGTGTACCCATTGTGTTGCTACTGGGAGTGGGATTCAAACCTGAGTTGGCTATAGGGGATCCGGCCTCCTTTGCATGGCACTTAACTGCTATGCTATAGGGCTGAACCAGTAGCCATTGCTTTGATTCTGCTTTGTCTTCAGGATCAACTGATAAGTTGTGTTTTACCACCTGTTACTATTCTTCAAAGCCATACTTCAGGGTCTTGATCCGACATGTTTAAAATTTCCATCAAAAGCTCTGCTCTTGTCTGCAGCTGATCTGGGTGCAATAGTTTGGCACCCATCAAGTAGAAAGTTTGCTCAACTTTAATTTTTCAGTCAGAATTGTGTAAATTAAACTAATTGAGATATCTATGGTGTTGGCTATTGTTCTTGATGTTAGTTGTCAGTCCTCTTCAATTAGAACATGAACAAGGTTAATTTTTTCTTTGCAAATTGATGTGGATGATCTGCAGCTGCAGGTGTCATCTTCAACATCATCTCATCCTTTCTTTTTTACTTTAGATTTTTTATTTTTGGTGTTTTTTTTTTTTTTTTTTTTTGGCATTAGGGTGTTCAGAGAGAGACAGAGAGAAAAAATGAGAAATCACCCTTCAGGGTAGATAGTCACTGCAATCCTCTCCTTTATTCTGCTCTTGGGATTTTGGGCATACCTACACACAGGTGCCAGGCATGTTATTCATGCTACCAGGTATGGGATTTGAATCACAGTTGACCATGTGGGACCCAGCACCTTAACTGCCATGCCACTGCTGGCCCCAATCATCTCATCCTTAAATTTTTTTTTTTTTTTTTTTTGTAAATTGGTGATGTCTTGGGTCAGTATCCCTGTACAGGCTTTTTTGTTTCATTTTGATTTTTTTTTTAAGAGATTATGCTATAGGGTGCATGCACTTGCCAGAGAGACAGGGATAGAAAGCGAGAAATCACCCCCGAGGGGGATGGCCACACCACAATCCCTTCTCCTCCACTGTCCTCTCTGGATCTTGAGCACGCACGCACATGCACCTAGCGAGTTTTAAGCCACTAGTTCTGTGACTCAAACCGTGGTTGACTGTGGGAGTTCTGTGATGTACTCATTATGTCATTTCCTGGTCCCAGTCCCTGTAAACTTCTTTTTGGTAAAGCATCAATGATTTCACCATTCTTTCACCCAAAGTTCACCATAAATTGGATGTGTTCTTCCTTCAATTTTATCAGAATTTTTGTTGCTCTGATAAGAACTCTTTCAAACTGATATCTTATCCCTTTGTCCTCTAACTAGACTTTGTTCAGAAATGTTATTGGGAACCAGCAGTGAGCATAATGGCTATGTCGCTGGACTCCCACGTAGTTGACCGCGGTTCGCGTCCTGGACCCGATGGCTTAAAACTCATTCCGGGCGTGTGTGCGTGCACCCAAAATCCCAAGAGGAGAATGGAGGAGAAAGGATTGTGGCGTGACCATCCCCCCTGGGGGGTGATTTCTCGCTTTCTGTCTCTATGTCTCTCTCTGTCTGGCGAGCACACGCGCCCTATAGCGAAAATCTCTCCAAAAAAAAAAAATTTAGTACATGTTTATTTTGGTGCAAAAAAAGTGAAATCGCTGCAGAATTTTTTCACAATACGCATTTTCCATAAACTTTTTGAGGACCCCTCATATGGTCTTTGGTAAGGAGATGACAGCCTCTCAATACTATTGGACACAGAGATACTTGCTACATAGATAGATCGCTGGTGTCCAAAGAGATTGGGGATTGTGACCATCTGTGGGTGTCTGTGATGGTTTGCACTGTGACAACTTAGGTATTACCTTGCCCAGAATTCTCTTCCCTTGTGGTTCCTTTCAGGTTTGACCACAAGAGAAATTGCATGCAATTCAGAAAGTGGAAGAGAAGCAGCAGCCATCATGTCTTGATGGTGAGTTTAGGACACAACATGCCACTGCAGTTCACACACACTGGAAATTTTAGGGTTTGGGAGGCTAAAGTTCAAAGCCTTCTTCCCCAATCCTCAGACCTCAGGGAGTATAGTGGGCCCCATGGACCCATGCCTTCCGGAAACAATCATCTTTGGGGGCTCTTTCATGTCATGAGTGCAGGAACCATGTCTTCAAGGTTTCTTAGGTTTTTCACATACTCTGACAGTCCTGTCGTCTGTTTATAAGAGCACCTCCAAGTGCCTGCTGGCCAGACTCAGGAATCTGTAAACATGCATCCAACATCTCACACTAGAATTCTTTCCGTTCTCTAAAGCCACAGCCTGCACACATCACCCTTGAATGTCATTTTGGAATCAAAATTGAAAAAGGCAGTGATGCAAAAACATACCTCTGGATGAGATCCTACAGGGTCACATAAAACATTCTATAGAACTATTTAGTAGTATTGAAATGTTTTCAGGGAAATTAAAATTTAACATGCTTTGATGCAGGGCCTTTCCAGTTTTTCTTTTCTTTTCCAGTTTCTGGTGTATATATGCACACCAGAGACACAGATACAATGAGAGGGAAAGTAAGAAATCACCCCCAGGAAGAGTGACTCTCTTTTTTAGATTAAAAAGTTTTGTCAGAGGGTGTATAGGCTCACCAGCGAAAGAGAAACATGAGTACACGTGTATGTGCTTGAAATCCTGATGGAATGGAGAATGGAAGAGAAGGGACTGTGGCATAACCATGCCCTCACTCGGGGGTGGGGGAGATGAGGTGGTGGTATGTTTTCTCTCTCCCCCTTTCTCTCTCTGGCAAGTACATGCACCCTCTGACAATTACATTTTTTAAAAAACAATGTGCCATAAGTGTAAAATACACATCACATTTCAAAGACTTAGTGTGAAAAAAAGAATGTAAAATATACATTAATTTTAGATCAATTGCAAGTTGAAATACTTAGAATATACTGGGATAGGGACCATACTGGGATAGGGACCAGCAGATGGCATAATGTTTACATCACTGGACTCCCACATAGTCGACTGTGGTTCAAGTCCCAGACTCATGTTGGACGCATGCGCCTGTGTGCCCAAAATCCTAAGAATGGAGAAGGGATTGCAACATGGCCATCCCCCATGGGAATGCTTTCTCGCTGTGTGTCTCACTGGTGAGTGCACACACCCTATAGCAAAAATCTTTTTCTCAAATAAATAAATAAATACTGGAATAAATATATTAAAATTATTTTTACTTGGAGCCAGCAGATGGCGTGGAATCTATGGCACTGGATCGCCATATGGAGAAAACCATCATATTTCCGGGCCATTTTGGAATAATCTGGCACAGGATTTATAACCAAAATAACCTACAGTTTGAGCCAATCTGAATGAAAAATCGTTTGTGGGTCATTTTGGAGAAAAAAAACTGCCTTAGAGTTTACATCCAAAATCTTCTAAAACTTGAATATGGAATTCATTTTTTTAAGAGATTTTTGCTCTATGGCACATGGGCTCACCAGAGAGAGAAAGTGAGAAATCATCTCCCTGTTCGGGGGCATGGCCACACCACAGGACTTATCCCTATTAGAGGACCAAGGAAGATGCCTGGTTAGAGATCACTATATAATGTCAATCGTTAGAGTGCCAACGAGGTAGCATAACTGTTGGTGGATGGTACTATCCATGCTGTTGGTGACTTGATATAAGTATAACTGAGACCCAAGGCTTTGAGACTAAAGAACTGCTTGGTCATAGCTGAAACACCAGGCCATGGAACCAGAGTGCTGGGGATAATGAACTGGTAAGAAGACCCCACTATGGGAGGACCTGGGTTTTGTGCCTGAGAAAAGCAATACAAGTAGTTAGGTAATGACTCAGCAAAGGCAACAGAAACAGATATTCAAGAGCTGAGAGAAGTAAAAAAAGGAGCTGTCAAAAAAAGCCAAGAAAAAGATAGTTGCAGGTGAAATTGGGCTAAGGAAGCCATATTTCCTGGAAGAAACATGGAAGATTCCTTCCATCTCTGTGTAAAATTTCCTAGATTTTTCTCCCCATACAAACTTTTCAGTAAGTATATGAATGACTTGGTTCTTATGTCTCCCAAGGAAACAGGAGTTTAAGATACCGATAATACCTGCTTATTTTTAAATCTTACTATGTGAGTGACTGTGTTACACAGCCAAGGTTATAGATTTGTAAAGAAACAGGGGGACCAGCAATTGGTGTAATGGTTATGTTGTTGGACTCCCATGTAGTCACTGATGGTTCGAGTCTCAGATCTGGTGGCTTGAACTCACGCCGGGTGCATGAACGTGCATGCCCAAGATCCCAAGAGGAGAAGAGAGAAGGGATTGCGGCAATGCCATCCCTCCAGGGGCTAATTTCTCGCTTTCTGTCTCTCTCTTTTTGGTGAGTGCATGCACCCTATAGCAAAAACCTCTCCCCCCAAAAAAGAAAAAGTTTATTAGAACAAAAGGCCATAAAACATGAAGATTTAGTATGGAGAAACTGAATGAAGCCAAATGTCTGACCACCTTTGGAATGCATTTTGTTTTACTCCACTGCATAAAGTGTAAAAATTTTCAGTATTTGTCTTTGCCACCCTCTTCACTTTCAAACAGAGTATAAGGATTCAGAAGATGGCCCTAAATAGGCCTCAGAGTCAGGCTGGAGTGGTGGTCGGTGGTGGATGGGCTTTATCTTCCTGTGTCTGTTGAGGTGAGACTTCTGTCTGAAGCCTTGCCCACCTGTCTTACACATGTAAAGCTTTTCCCCCTTGTGTGTCACCTGATGTAAGGTGAGGTGAGACTTCTGGATAAAGCCTTGACCACACTCTCTGCCTACACGAGGCTTCTCTTCTGTGTGTACTTGCTTATGGGTTATTAAAGCCGACTTATTGCTGAAGCCTAGTCCACACTGCCGGCATGTGTAAGGCTTCTCCCTCGCATGTTTCCTCTTGTGCCTGATGAGCCCTGCCTGATGACTGAAGCCTCGTCCACATTCCCGGCACACATACGGCTTCTCTCCCGAGTGTGTCCTCTGGTGTGCAATGAGGTTCGACTTCTGGCTGAAGCCTCGTCCACATTCCTCACACACCATGGGCTTTTCCCCTGAGTGTGTCCTCTGGTGTCTGATGAGATTTGACTGCTGACTGAAGCCTCGACCACAGTCTTTGCACACGATGGGTTTCTCCCCTGAGTGTATGTTCTGGTGTCTGTTGAGGTGTGACTTTAGACTAAAGCCTCGCCCACACACCCCACATACATATGGCTTTTCCCCAGTGTGCGTCCGCCTATGAGAGATGAGGGTTGAATTCTGGCTAAAGCTGTGCCCACATACTCCACACACGTACGGTTTCTCCTTTGAGTGTGTCCTCTGGTGGTTGACAAGGGTTGTCCTCTGCCTAAAGCATCGCCCACACTCCTTGCAGGCATAAGGCTTCTCCCCCGAGTGTGTCCTCTGGTGGGAGATGAGGTTTGACCTATCACTAAAGCCCAGGCCACAATCAGTGCATACGATGGTCTTCTCCTCTAAGTGTGTCCTCTGGTGTCTGACAACAGCTGACTTTTGGCTAAAACCTTTGCCACACTCCCGGCACACGTAAGGCTTCTCTCCTGAATGTGTCCTCTGGTGTATGATGAGGTTTGACTTTTGACTAAAGCCTCGTCCACATTCATTGCACATATAAGGCTTCTCGCCTGAATGTGTCCTCTCATGTATTATGAGTGTTGACTTCCGATTAAAACCTCGTCCACATTCCCTGCACACAATAGGTTTCTCCCCTGAGTGTGCCTTCTGGTGTCTGGCAAGGCTTTTCTTTAGACTGAAGCCTTTCTCACATACCCCACACACGTAAGGCTTCTCCCCTGAGTGTATCCTCTGGTGACTAAGCAGGTTTGTCATCTTGCTGAAGCCTAGTCCACACTCTCCACAGTTGACCGTTCCAAATCCCAAGACTTCTATCCTCTTCAACAATTTGTCTGTTTCCTCAGGGTTCCCTGTCTGAGTAGTTCTGACATCTGTCTCCACCCCTTTGCTGCCATTCCGAGAGCTGAGTGGCTGCTTTTGGGGTGGCCTGGAGGATGTTCCCAGAGTTCTTCTCTTTGTCCTTCCAAAAAAAGACTTGGCACCATCTCTCTCTAGACCTTCTGCTTTATCAACCCAAGGACTTCGATCCGAGGCCTGTTGCTGCTTTCCCTGGTCCTCTGGGCATGAATCCTCTGTCTGGACATGACTTTCTGCACATAAGCATGTGAAGATCCAGGGATGATGATTACACAGCTCATGCTGCATGGGGAATTTCTCACTGGAGAAATCCAGAGGGCAGGAAACACTGAGATGGACATCTGGCTTTGGTCCTGTTGCAGAGAAAAAAGTCTGAGTCAGAACTGAGTCCTCAGAAGAAAAGTCGAAGCAATTCTGCCTCGTCTGGTGGTGACTTAATCCCTTGTTCTCCAAAGTGCTTAAAAGTTAAGTACTATCCAACCAAGACTTCCTTTATGAGACAGACTTTCCAGTCCATCAGTACACCTTACACTTTCTATTACAATCCAAAAAATCCATTCCTCAGACCTGTTTGATTTAGATTATAAAAACATCACAAATAGTATTGGGCATGTAAATAGGGCCAATGTTGGGACCAGCAGTTAGCGTAATGGCTATGTCACTGAACTCCCATAGAGTCAACCACAGTTCGAGTCCCAGACCCAGTGGCTTAAACTCACGCCAGGCACATGTGCATGCGTGCCCAAGATCCCAAGAGGAGAAGGAAGTAGAAGGGATTGTGGCGTGGCTATACACCTGGGGGGGGGTGATTTGTCGCTTTCTGTCTCCCTGTTTCTCTCTTTCTGGTGAGTGCACACGCCCTATAGCAAAAAACCTCTCAAAAAAAAAAAAAATGTAAATAGGGCCAATGTGCAATAGTCTCACCCACCCACCCACAACAATTTATTTCTAACTCATAACCACCCACACTGATAGAGACCATGTCTTCAAGTTTTTTGTTGTTTTGGACTGAGAGATCTATCTAACCACAGGATCCATGTGGAAATGTCTATGTCTCACTGTGAGGACAAAGAGACCAAGAGTAGTCATTCATAATGAAAGAGAATTCTAGTATAGGAAGCAGCATAAGAAAAGAGGTAAATGAGTCCAGCAGGAAGTATAGTAGTTAAGGCACTTGACTACAACAAGGCTGACCACAGTTCAAGCTCCAGGCCCAGTGGCTTGAAACTCATGCCAGGTGTGTGTGCACACATGCCCAAAATCGCAAGGGGAGAATGGAGGAGATGGGACTGCAGTGTGGCCATCCTCCTGGTGAGTGATTTCTCTCTCTCTCTCTCTCTCTATATATATATATATATATATATCTGGCAAGTGCATTCGCCCTATAGCAAAAATCTCTCTAAAAAGAAAAAAGAAAGTAGGTAAAGACAAAGTGTATGGAATGCCTGAACTGGGATTTCCCCACTCAACAAGTGTTTATTAGAGAATTACTTTTATCACAGTTTTTACAAGACAGTAGTAGGCTTTTGGCACTGGACAGCACATAGTCCATACTCCCACTGACTTAAAAAAAAAAAGGTCCCAATATATTGATCCCCACAACCAATCAAAACCTAGTGTAAGTAAAAACTTCCTCAGAAAACCAGTGTAAGTAAAATTCTTCTTATACTAATACCTAACTCTTGTGTAGATGTCAATATCAAATGCATTTAGGAATTCCAAAAAGTTTATAGTAAATGAGATGAAAAGTATGAGTTTATTGGAACTGTGGTCACTTATACGGGATCCAGCTCCCCTTACCACTAGGCTCTGGGAACAGCTAAACTCCCAGTTTTAGCAATTATTATCATTATTATTATTATTTGGAGAGAGAGATTTTTGCCATAGGACGTATGTGCTCACTGGAGAGACAGAAAGCAAAAAAAATCACCCCTTGGGGTGGGGGGAAATGGACACACCACAATCCCTTCTCCTCCATTCTTCTCTTGGGATCTTGAGCACACAAGCACATGCACCCAGTGCAAGTTTCAAGCCTCCAAGTCCAAAACTCAAACTGTGGTTGGCCATGTGGGATTCCAGCATCATAACACTATACCACCTGCTGGCCCCAACTCCCAATCATTTTAATGTCCTGGTTTCTAAGGGAAACCTTTCTTGTTACAGCCGGACCTCTAGCTCTAAAAAAAGATTAGCTCTGAGTTCAGTATGAGGACTTGGTTATTAAGTTATACTATAAGAAAGAAAGTGAAGCATTCAGAGCTCAAAACTAAAGAAATTTACTGACTTATATGTAGCTCTAAAGAAAAGAATCAACATTTTAAAATGTGGTAATACCAGGAAACTAGATAGGTGTAGTCTTTACCCTGATTTGTTCTTTGCTATTTAATTTTATTATTTCTTTTTCTTCACATTTTATTGGTTCACAAAAGAGCTTAATTAAATACTTTCAGTAGCAAGTGCAGCTCATATTAACCTATCTGTAAACACATGTCTGACTTTAGGCATAAAACTCAGTGCATAGAATACATTCAATCATTATACTTCTCTATAGTATACAATATGTTTTTGTATTTTTTGTTTTAAGAATTATTTTATTTAGGGCCGGCAGGGGGCGTGGTGGTTAAGGGTGCTGGATTCCCACATGGCTGACGATGGGTTGAGTCCCAGAGCTGGCAGCTTGTTTTCTCACTTTCCCTCTCTTTCTCTCTCTCACTCTGTCCCTCTCTGGTCAAATTAATTAATATTTTTTTAATTTGACCAGGGAAAGATAGAAGAGACAGAGAGGGAAAAGCAAAGAAAGCAAGCCACGAAGTCTGGGACTAATTGGCCATGTGAGTCCAGCACTTTAACCACCATGCCACCTGCTGGCCCCCATACAATATGGTTTTCTTTTTTTGTGTTTGTTGTAGGGCGTGTGTTCTCACTAGAGAGACAGAAAGCAAGAAATCACCCCTAGGGAGAGCCATGCACAATTTCTTCTCCTCTATTCTCTTCTCAGAATCTTGGGCATGCATGAACAAGTGCTTGACATACATTTTAAGCTGCTAGGTCCAGAATTCAAACCATGGTCGACTATGTGGGAGTCCAGCAACGTAACCACCACACCATCTGCTGGTGCCACAATATGGTTTTTCAAAGTACACATGCAATAGGAAGTGTATAATACAAATGACAACTCAAAATAAAGGATGTTGGGAGGAGGTAACTGAAACTGTGCAAATGCAATGCTCTTATATTTTACATGATGTAGTACTCAGATTAAGTAGAACATAAACAGTTAAGGCTATATATCATACTCCCTTGGAGTGGGAATCAACAAACTTTTTCTTTCTTTTTTAATGTTTTTTAGTTTTTTGTCATAGGGCACATGTGCTTGCCAGAGAGAGAGAGAAGAGGGAGGGAATGTGAGAAATCACACCCCAGGGACCAGCAGTTAGCATAATGGCTATGTCGCTGGACTCCCATGTAGTCGACCATGATTCGAGTCCTGGACCTGGGGGCTTAAACTCACGCTGGGACGTGTGCGTGTGGGCCCATGATCCTGAGAGGAGAATGGAGGAGAAGGGTTTGTAGCGTGGCCATCCCCTCTTGGGGGGGGGGGTGATTTCTCACTTTCTGTCTCTCTGTCTCTCTTTCTGGCGAGTACACACACCCTATAGCAAACACCTCTCCAAAATAAAAAATAAAAAAAAGAAATCACACCCCAGAGGGGATGGCCATGACACAATCCCGTCTCTTCCACTCTTGGAGGGGAACTTGGAGACACACAAACAGTATGGTTTTCAACCTGCTGGGTCTAGGACTTGAATCACAAATAGCCATGTGAGAGTCTAGCACCTTAACCACCAACCCTCTTGCTAGCCCTAGCAAACTTCTTTTTTTTTGCTACAGGGCTTGTGTGCTCGCCTGACAGAGAGATAGAAAGCAAGAAATCATCTCCCAGGGGATGGCCACGCTGCAATCCCTTCTCCTCCATTCTCCTCTCGGGATTTTGGACACACACGCACATGCGCCCAGCATGAGTTTTAAGCTACTGGGTTCAGGATGCGAACCATGGTTGACTACATGGGAGTCCAGCAACATAGCCATTATGCTAACTGCTGGTCCCGCAAACTTTTCTTAAAAGATAGTAAACAGTTTAGGCTTTGAGGGCTAAGAGGGAAAACTAAGGACATTATTCACATATTTATATAACCATTAAAAAATGTAAAAGCGGGACTAGCAGTTACCATAATGGCTATGTCACTGGACTCCCATGTAGTTGAACAGGGTTCGAGGCCCAGACACTGTGGCTTAAACTCATGCCGGGCATGTGTGTGTCCGTGCCCGAGAGAGAATGGAGGAGAAGGGATTATGGCATGGCCATTCCCCCTGGGGGGTGGGTGATTTCTCGCCTTCTGTCTCTCTCGTCTTTCTGGCGCGTGCATGCGCCTTATAGCAAAAATCTCTCTCTCAAAAAAAAAAAGGAAAACGCAATTCTTAGCTCACAGATATTTTAGAATTCTCTTTCAATTTCTCAACTAGCTTTTTTAGCTTTCCTTCCTCCCATTGGGCTTGCTTGCTCCCTCCTTTCTCTGGCTCACTTAGTTTTTCCATATTCTTGCTACTACTTTCAACTATAAGTAATGAGAAATGAGTCCATAAATGTAGAAGGGAATTGAGTGACCTAGAGAAGGCAAACCTAGTAAGAGGAAGAAAATCTTCCTATGGAGGGGGACAAGACACATCAAAAAAGACTCCTGCTTGAATGAAGGTGATCTGGAGGGGAGTCCATGCCATACAGTATAAACACAGCCCAGGAGGGCTAGAGAACAGCTACCCAGCACCTGGGTGGGGAGCCTCTTCCATCTTGACCTGTGAGCTATCAACAGCCCCACATCCCACTCACCTGGAGAGGTGGCCTGTGGGCATTTTTTCTCCTCTCTCCAAGTTTCTTTCTCTTGCTCCAGCTGAGTAATAAGTTTTGGTTTGGAAAATGGAATTCCTGTTCACAGGGAAAGAAAATAAAGTGACCATAGGTTATGGGCTCGAGGTTTCATTAAAGAGTTCAGAGTCATACCAGGTGGGGATCTTCAAAGGGTGGTACAAAGACCTGAGAATGGTGGTTTCTCAGCATTAAAAGGGGTAAGAGGAGAAGGTGAACACAGATATGAACATGCCGATTCTATTCCACACCAGGTGGATGAATACCTCCCTCATTTAAAAGTTAACTTAGGAAGGGAGCCCATGCCTGGGGGAAAAGTCCTAGAAAATGTGGAGAATCACACACATATACATATGCATATGTGCATGTGTGCACACATACACACGCACACAACTTGACCATTTCCTTTTTCTTTCCTTTCTCTTAACGAGAGAGGAAGGAGAGAGAAAAGTAGGTATTTTGTTAAAATAATTATTTAACTTTATTTAAATTTGACCAGAGAGAAACAGAGCAAGTGAGTGAGTGAGCGAGAGAGGAAGTGAGAAAGTAAGCTGCCAGGTCTGGTACTCAAGCTGTGTCAGCCATGTGGGAGTCCAGTGCCCTTAACCACCACACCACCTGCTGGCCCCTGTACATAGGTATTTTTAGCAGTGTCACCATATATTGAATCTCTGCCCCAGCCTCCCCATTTGCCAGGATTATAGGGACATGTTACCATGCCAGGCCTGTTCAGGCTATTCTGAGAACTGAACCCAGATCTCCCATGAGGCCCCAGCCTTGCACAGAGGCACCCTACCACTAACACCACAGCAGCAGGGCCTAACCTTTTCTGACTACAAAATGAGACCTTCCCTGGGGAAACAGGGAACAAAACATCTTTGCTTGATTCTAATTCAAAGGCCAAGTAAGAAGGCAAGATGGCTGCTTCGAGCACAGCCTAAAATTCCTAGCAGTGAGAACACAAGTCCTAAAAGAAACCACACTTACCCAGTGAGACCAGATTGCTGTAGTTCTCCAGCATCACCTCCCTGTACAGGGTCCTCTGAGCAGAGCTCAGCAGTCTCCACTCTTCCTGAGTGAAAGCCACAGCTACATCCCTGAATGCCATGGGTACCTGTAATACAAAACACAGCCCAACTCACCAGGAGCTAGCCTTGCCCATGGCACAGGTGAGGGACAGAGAAGTCTGCCCTAAGGGAGGCAGGGAGGATATCCAGATCCTGCCTTTGACTGTGACCCTGGTGTCATGCATTTCAAGACCTTCAGACCTCACTCTCTCTCTTTATCTAGCCAGCAGAGATTGTGAACCTATACACTGAAGGTCCTGGTTGGGTTGTTTGTGATAGACATGTAAAGAATAAGGTCCCTAAGTATAGGGAACTATAAATCTAGACAGACAAGAGCAAACAGTATATACAAATGAAACAGCAGTAAAACAAAACAGACTCTCTGAGTTTTAAGAATTTAAAAGATCTGGGACCAGCAGATGGCATGATTACATTGCTGGACTCTGACATGGCTAACTGTGGTTCGAGTCCCGGACCTAGAGGCTTGAAATTCATGCCGGGGGAATGTGTGTGTGTGTGCCCAAAATCCTAAGAGAAGGGAGAAAGGACTCCAGCATGGCCATTCCCCCTAGGGGGTGATTTCTCACTTTCTGTCTTTCGAGTGAGGGCATGGCCCCTATAGCAAAAAAAAAAAACAAAAACAAAACTCTCTTTAAAAAAAATTTAAAAGATCAAATAGTCAGGACCAGCAGATGGCATAATGGTTACGTTGCTGGACTCCCACATAGTCGACTGCGGTTCGAGTCCCGGACCTAGTGGCTTAAAACTCACACTGGGTGCACATGCGCACATGCCCAAAATCCCAAGAGAAAAATGGAAGAAAAGGGATTATGGCATGACCATCCTCCTGGGAAGTGAGTTCTCACTTTGTCTCTCTGTCTCTCCGGCAAGCACACACACCGTATAGCAAAAATCTCCTTTTTAAAAAAAAAAAAGAAAAATAATCTGATCAATCATATCAATGAAGAATCCAAGTGACTGAAGGTCATACAATTTGATGATGTCAAAGACTCAACTACAACTTAGTCCTTCCCCTAAATCCTACTGTCTCTTGGCCTTGCTGAGCCTGAAAGGAACAAACAGGGAGTGATGAAACACTGAGACCACAGTGCCTGGATTTGAGACCACCTCTGCCACCAACTAGTGCCTCAGGTTCCTCACCTGTGAGACATGGGTAACAACACATTATATGTCCTGCTACATATTGTGGGAACTCATGGTAGAACTTCTTGGCCACTCAATTAAAAATTCATCTCTTCATTCTGTTCTCATCCCTTACCACATTTTATTATTTCAAAAAAAATCTTTCTTTCTTTCTTTCTTTCTTTCTTCTTTCTGTCTCTCTCTCTTTCTTTCATGAGAGAAAGAGGACAGGCACTTTGACAGAGTCTCGTCATGCCACGACTCCTTTCCCCAGTCCTCCAGCCAGTCCAGGATCTTGGTGTACCAGATATGTTTCAGGTCAACTTGGAAGTTGCCTTAATTTCTTTATTAAAAAATTATAAATAAATAAGTTGCCTAACAGCATGTGTGCTCACCAGAGAGAAACACAGAGAGAAGGGGAGAGACAGAAAGCACTCCCCAGTGACGTGTGGCCAGGCTATAATCCGTGGCTTTGGACAGTGCCCAGCAGCATGCTACCGCTTGCACCACAGCAGCTGGGACCCAGTTTGATTCTTTTTATTTCTGTAACACTACTTCAAAATGGAAGTTACACTGGGAAAGAGACATGAGGAAAGATTTTCTAGGACAGGCCTGGAAACGTGGTCTTTCAGACTGAGAAGGAATCAAGAGAAGAGGAAAGTGCTAGGAATTCCAGATGAGGCATGTAGGGGCAGGGACAAGGTCATTACAAGTGATGAGAGAGAGGAAGCCTGAAACAAGAACGACGAGGACCACCTGGGAGGAATAAAAGGCATCTACTGGTAGAATACAGAATAGTTAGAGTGAAGCAGCCTATAGGAAGTTTGTCATTTTTACTGTGGTAAAACACAACAAAAAGTTTGCTATCTTTACCATTTTAAGTACACAGTTAGGTGACGGGCAGTGCATCCACACTGCTATGCAGCCACCACCACCATTCATCTCCAGGATTTTTCATCATCCCATACTGACGTTCTGTGACCAAGTAGTAACTTCCCACCCCCTCCTCTCCTCAGAACCTGGTAAATGACCACTTTGCTTTTAGTCTATTCCTGGCCATTCTATGTGTCTGAACAGACAGAATCATGTGTTTTTTTGTGTCTGGTTCATTTTACTTAGCACAGTATCTTTAAGATTTATCTATGCAGAAACATACACTCAGAATTTCCTTCTTTTTTAAGGCTATATAATATCCCATGCTGTGTATATATACTGTACTGTATTTGTTTTCCTATTCCTCTGCCAATGGACATTTGGTTTGTTTTTAGCTTCTGGCTGCTGTGAGTAATTCTGCCATACACACTGATGTAGAAATATTTGTTTGAGACCTTACTTTTAATACTATTAGTTATATACCAATAAGAGAAATTACTGGATCAAATGGTATTTCTGTGTTCAATTTTTTCAGAAACCACCATACTATTTCCCACAGCAGTTGTACCATTTTACCTTCCCACTAGGAATGCAGAAGGATTCTAATTTCTCCACATCCTGGCCTATAGGGAGCAGCCCAATCTGAAAAAACATGGTGACCTTCAGACATGCAGAAATGCTGCAAGGCTATGAAAGCATTAAAATATAAATATGCTTGGGGGATATGCTTGGGGGCCAGCAGGTGGCGTGGTGGTTAAGATACTGGACACTCCCACATGGCCAACCACGGTTCAAGTACCGGACCTGGTGGCTTGCTTTCTCACTTTCTCTTTCTCTCTCTCTCTTTGTATCTCTCTCTCTCTGTATCTCTCTCTGGTAAAATTAAAATAAATGAATGAATAAATAAAAATTAAATATTTATTTTTTTGGAGAGGTTTTTGCTATAGGGCATGTGCGCTCGCCAGACAGACAGAGACAGAAAGACAGAGAGCGAGAAATCACACCCCCCCGGGGGGATGGCCACACCGCAATCCCTTCTCCATTCTCCTCTCAGGATCTTGGGCACGCACGCACACGCACCCAGCGTGAGTTTTAAGCCACCAGGTCCAGGACACAAACTGTGGTCGACTACATGGGAGTCCAGCGACATAGCCATTACGCTAACTGCTGGTCCCAATAAACAATTATTTTAAATATGTATAAATATGCTAACTGCTGATACTGCAAAGGAGTATCTGTCTAAGGAAACCATGTGTTATTCAGATTTCGCCCAAAAGAATCAGAAGTAACCGATTAACATCTGAAAATAATTGGCTTTGCATTCCATTTCCTCTTCCCCCATTTTCTGCCCTATAAAATAATAAAACCAGAGGCTTGTTTGAGGTTGCAGCTTTCTCCATCTGAGAAGTTGGATCCACCAGATCCTTGCTCTTCTATATTTGTGTCTTTGTGTGTTTGTTGTTATATTTTGCTAAATATAATCAACAGCCCTCCCCCCAATCCCCCCCAAAAAAAGTGTTCAGCTGAGCAGGTCCCAGTGCCTGCATTTATCCTATTTTCTTTTAATAGCCATACTAATGGACATAAAGAGGTACCTTATTGTGATCTTGCTTTTCATTTCCCAAATGATTAGTGACGAGCATCTTTACATGTTTTTACAGGTCATTTGTTTTTGCAAAAATGACTATTCAAATCTGTTGTTTATTTTTGAATTGGGGTGTTCTTTTTGTTGTTGAGTTGTAGAAGTTCTTTGTGTATTCTGGATGTTAATACTTTATCGGATATATAATTTGCAAATATATTCTCTCTCTTTAGTTAACAAAGCATTTAAATTTTGAAAAAAGTCTTATTTCTCTATTTTTTCTTCTTGTTGCCTATGATTTTGATTTCAATGTCATGAAGATATTCCCATATATTTTTTTCTAAGACTTTTATAGTGTTTGCTCTTTTCTTTAGGTCTTTGATCCACGTTCAGTTAATTTTTGTATATGGTAGTGGGTAAAGGTTCAACTTCATTATTTTGCATGTAGATATAAAATTTTCCTAATAGCTGTTTGCTGAATACATGATCTTTTCTTGTCACTCTTGTTAAAAGTCATTTGATTACATATGCAAAGGTTCACTTCTGGGCTCTTTATCCTATTACATTGATCTACAGGTTTACCTTTATGCCAGTACCATAGTTTGGATTACTTTTGTTTTCCTTTTATGAGAGAGAAAAGAGGGAAAAACAGAGCTAGGCATCTCCATCCAGGTTTTGCTGTGCCGTGACCCTCCTGCCTCGGCTTCCCTATCAGCTAGTCTCATAGGCCTGTAAAACTGTGCTTGGCCTGCCTGTTCGGGTTGACCTAGGAATGGATTCCCCACGCAGCTTCCAGCCTCCCAAGCAGTACACTACCTGTGCACCACTGTGGTGAGCCTATCGGAAATTTTGGAGAGGTTGTTTTTTTTTTTTTCCACTATAGGGCACGTGCGCTCACCAGACAGACAGAGACATAGAGACAGAAAGCAAGAAATCACCCCCCAGGGAGGATGGTCACGCCGCAATCCCTTCTCCTCCATTATCCTCTCGGGATCTTGGGCACACACGCACACGCGCCTGGCGTGAGTTCTAAGCCACCAGGTCCGGGACGCAAACTGCGGTCGACTACGTGGGAGTCCAGCGACATAGCCATTACGCTAACTGTTGGTTCCCAGCCTATCGTAAATTTTGAAATCAGACCCTTTGTGGGAACCAGCAGCTTAGTCTATCTTTGTTTTTGCCACAGGGTGCATGCACTCACCAGAGAAACAGTGAGAGGAAAAATGAGAAATCACTCCCCAAGGGGCAGGCCAAACCACATCCCTTCTAATCCTGAGATTTTGGGCACAGACACACACACACCCAGCATGATTTTTAAACCTCCAGGTCCAGGACTTGAACTGTAGTCACCCATGTGGGTCCAGCACCTTAACCGCAACACCACCTGCTGGCCCCAGTTTAAACTGCCTTATACCCTAAACACGCTCAGAATACTTCCAGAAGCTTACAGTGGGAAAAACTTCTAATATAAAACCTATTACAAAGTGTTGAATAGCTCACATAATTTATTGAGTTACTGTACTGAAAGTGAAAAACAGATGATTGGATGGGTACTAAAAATATGGTTTCTCTTGAATGATTATCACTTTTGTTACCATCGTAAAGTCAAAAAAGTCATTTAACTATCATAAATTGAAAACTATTTATATATCAACCCACTGCCTTCAAGCCTCTAATATTTTGATGAGAAATATGATAATCTTACTGAGAATACCTTTTATGTATCAAGTTTTCTGTTGCCTTTGACTTCTGTTTTTTTTTGGAGAGATTTTCACTGTAGGGCGCGTGCGCTCGCCAGACAGACAGAGATAGACATAGAGACAGAAAGCGAGAAATCACCCCCCAGGGGGGATGGTCACGCCACAATCCCTTCTCCTCCATTCTCCTCTCGGGATCTTGGGCACGCACGTACACGCGCCCGGCGTGAGTTTTAAGCCACCGGGTCCGGGACACGAACCGTGGTCGACTACGTGGGAGTCCAGCGACATAGCCATTACGCTAACTGCTGGTTCCCTTGACTTCTGTTTTGATTTCAATTGTGATTGCACTCTTACCCAGTAGATGTTCTGAAGCTGAACAAGGAAATAAGGACTCTAACTTGCACTACAGAACTGTGTTTTTCAGAGTCAACTACTACGTGAATTATCAAGCAGAGAGAGATGCTGAGGGCAGGCTGCAAGCAAGATGATTCACACATCCAGAATTGGAGGTGGATTCTACTAGGTTCCATCCAATAAGGCAATCAGGGTAAGAGAAGGGAATGTGTCTATCCTGTGACAGCCAATATGGAGACAGGAAACACTCACCATTCCCTTGGCTCTCCAGGACCCTGTTGCCATTTTTTCTGGTCTCCCTAAAGAAGGATGATATCTCAGAAGGTAGATCTAGGCAAGAAAAACAGAAATGAAAAGGTGTCAGGTGGAATGCTCTCCCCATGAGTAAGGCAGGGCCTACTCTTTAACACCACAACTGGTGGAGTAGGAGCACAGTGGGGATTGTAAAAAAGCAAGAAAAAGATATCCCTTGACAACAGCAAGGTAAAGGGAAAAATAAACAAGAGAGAGAAATGTAGGATCTTGTAAAACCAAACCAAACCAAATGGCACTATTTCTCCTACACCTCCAATCCAGTAAAGAAATCATACTTTGCTGACAAGAGTTTTCCTGAACTAGAAAAACTCAAAAATGGTAGAATCTCACAGGTCTTTTTAAAGAAATACAGACATGCATTCATCATCTATAAATAGACAAAACAGAACATGAGAATCCAAGCAATTCAGCTAAAGAAAATTCCACTAAGTGGAAGAAAAAAAGGTGAGACAATAAAAAATCTTAACTCTAAATCTGCACTCAAACAAACAAGGTATCATCTTGAACTGAAAATTCAAAAACTAAGAAAAATGAACAAAAAAGTAAAAAAAAGATGGAATTTGACTGAACTTCTGAAAAAAAGAAAAAGACCATATTTAGTGAGGAATGATGAGTAAATTACACCTAAGGAAGAAAAGATTGAGATGAAAACATGATGGACACTCGGGAACCAGCAGTTAGTGTAATGGCTATGTCACTGGACTCCCACGTAGTCGACCGCGGTTTACGTCCTGGACCCGGTGGCTTAAAACTCACGCCAGGCGCGTGTGCGTGCGTGCCCAAGATCCAGAGAGGAGAATGGAGGAGAAGGGATTGTGGCGTGACCATCCCCCCTGGGGGGTGATTTCTCGCTTTCTGTCTCTATGTCTCTGTCTATCTGGCGAGCGCACGCGCCCTAAAGCAAAAAATCCTCTCCAAAAGAAAACAAAAACAAAACATGGACACTTAATAACTGAAAAATAAAATAAAAACTAAATAAAATAAAAAAGAAAGAAAAAGGCTGGAATGGAACAAAGAATAATATTCATATAATTATAGTTTCTGAAGAATAAAAACCAAAAATGAACCAATATTATAAAGTATAACCTAAGAAAATATTTCAAAAATAGATGACCGAATTTAAATATGAAAGAGCCTATAAGATGATGCTCACAAATAAGCACTAACTCCAAGACATCCACTGAAAAAACAATTAGACTTTAAATAACAACAAAAATCTGAAGTGACTCTCACATCAGACTTTCATCAGAGTTTTCAAAATCATAATTCATCAACAACTGTACATTGCTCATGGGAATGAAAAGTAGTGCAGTCACAAAACAGTATAGGGGTTTCTCAAAAAATTTAAAATACACTAATCATGCGATCAATCGATTGAATTTCTGGATACACAACTAAAAGGGCTGAAGGCAAAAACTTGAACAGACACTTGTATGTTCCTGTCTAGTGTAGCATTTTTTACAATGGCCAAAAGATGGATGCAGGCCACTCGTAGTGTGGTGGTTAAAGTTGCTAGATCTCCATGGCAAACTGTGCTATTTGAGTCCCAGACCCAGTGGCTTGAAAAACACACTGTGCACATGTACATGCATGCCCAAAATCCTAAGAGAAGAATGGAAGGCAAAAGACTGCAGTGTGGCCATCCCCCCATGGGGTTGGTTTCTCACTTTTCTTCTCTGTTTCTCACTGGTGAGGTGCATGTGCCTGCTGGTAAAAAAAAAAAAAAGTGGAAACAACTCAAGTGTATATCAATGGATGAATGGATAAACAAAGCATGGTATATACATTCAACGGAGTACTGCCCTTAAAAAGAAAATTCTGAGATATACTACATCGTGGAAAAACCTTGAAGACAGTATGCTAAGTGAAATAAACCAGGAACAATATAACAAAATGTTCCATTTATATGAAGTACCCAGAATAACCAAGGTCATAAAAAAAGATAGTAAAATGGTGAGTGATAAGCCTTGCAGAAGGGTGAATGAGGAAGTTATTCTTTATAAATACAGTTTTAGTCTGGGAAGATGGAAAGAAAACTTCTGGAAATAGATGGTGGTGACAGTTATACGTCAATGTGAAGGTGACCTGTAACTAAAAAAGTAGTTAAGATGGTAACTATGTTATGAATATTTTGCCATAATAAAATGTACAGCCAAAGCAATTCATCATTTGAAGCAAGACGTGACAGGGGAAATTTAGCAAAAAGACTGAGATGAGTATTTAATACACATAATTGTAAACCTAGCACTCAAAGGGGAAGAGAGAGGAAAGACATATATGCTGATGGTATATAGTTGTATGTTCTGATAAGGTAGAAATGGCACTAAAATGGGAGAAAGAGGAAGAGGGAAATAATAAAAGTTTGCTGAATGTTGCAGGGGCAATAGGTGGAAACTATTTATTTAAAACAGTGAGGTGAAGAAAATTACAGCCTTCAATGATTTTATAAATAAATATGGAGCCAGCTCCACAGTGTAGTGATTAACACTGCACAGCGGATACCAGATCCCATATGACTGACCAGGGTTTGAGACTCAGCCCTGGTGGCCTGAAAAACAATCAGGCACATGTTTGTGCCCAGCATCCTGACAGGGCAAAGAACTGGAGGAAAAAGGACTGCAATGTGGCCAAGCCCTGGCAGTGTTCCCGGGCATGTGAACAGGTTCTCTGGCATAAATAAAAAGAAAGAATGAATCAGAGTAAATGAGCTAAATTTCCAGCTTAAAGAGTTAGTAAAATAAAGTAAACCAAAAGAAAAACACAAGGATAAAAATAATATAAAAGTAGAAATTAATAAATAGAAAAAAGTGATCTAATAAGTCAAATCCTAGCTCTTAAATAAAAATAAACAAACACTAGTTAACTTAAGAAAGAGAAAGCATAAATATTCACAATAAGAAATGACAAAGGGAAAATAACTATTTAATCATCAAAAAATATTTTTTATTTTTGGGAACCAGCAGTTAGTGTAATGGCTATGTCGCTGGACTCCCACGTAGTTGACTACAGTTCGCATCCCGGTGGCTTAAAACTCACACCGGGCGCTTGTGCGTGTGTGCCCAAGATCCTGAGAGGAGAACAGAGAAGGGACTGTGGCGTGACCATCCCCCCTGGGGGGTGATTTCTCGCTTTCTGTCTCTCTAATGTCTCTGTCTGTCTGGCGAGTGCACGCGCCCTATAGCAAAAATCTCTCTCAAAAAAAATTTTTTATTTTTTAGGTTTTTATCTTAGGGCATGTACACTCACTGGAGAGAGACAGTGAGAAGGAAAGTGAGAAATCATCCCCCAGGGGGGATGGCCACACCACAATCACTTCACTCTCCTCTCAGGATTTTGGACCTGTATACATACACACCTAGCGAGATTTTCAAGCTGCCAGGTCTGGTCAGCCATATGGGAGTCTAGTGCCTGTAACCACCATGCTATCTGCTGGGTTCATCAAAAAACATTTTAAAAAATCATGTAAAAGTTTTGCAGGTCTCCAGACAAATTTGTGTACCTAAATGAAGTAAATCTGAACATTGATTCTAGTTGGTCGCAGGAAATACCACTTCTAGATACAGACCTTTAAACCAGATAGTCACAGTCCCAATGCTCAAGGATTGTCCAAGCACACTGAAAAATGAGAAAAATTCTCCACCTTTTTTTTTTTTTTTTAATAAAGCAAGTTTAACACTGGGACCTAAACTTGATGACAGTTTAAGAATATAAAGCTACAGATTAGTTAGGCTTACAAATATTGAAACAAAATTCTAAATAAAATATTAGTAAAGAGACTCTCAACATCACCCTAAGAAAATATTTCACCATGCCAAAGTAAGATTTACCCAGGAGTGTAAGATTAGTTCATTCTTAGGAAATTCACTATTATATCACAAGACATGACTATCTCTATATATTCTCAGATATTATTCAGTAAAGCGCAACATACTCCTCACTTAAAGAAAAAACAACTCATTTAAAATAAAGCTCGGGCCAGCTAGTGGCATGATGGTTACGGTGGCTAGATCCCACATAGCCAACTGTGCAGTTTGAATACTGGACCTGGCGGCTTTAAAAAAAATATATGCCAGGTGCATGTGTACTTGTGCCCAAAATCCCTAGAAACATATAGAAAAGGGACTGTAGTGTGACCTTCCACTCAGTGGGGTGCTTTCTCACTTCCGTGCCCCTACCCCATTTTTTTTTAAATTTTATTTATTTTTTTTATTTACATTCATTCACTGTACATCATTATAGCATACAAAATGAGATTTTTCCATTGAGAATACACTGTATATTGGCTCAATCAAGCACATCAACATATGTGTTATTGTCAACAAATCATTTTCCATTTCTTATTTTCTGTTGATTTTGCCTTTTTTCCCCATCCTT